AATTTTAGCCAGTAGGTAAAGATGTTAATCCAAAGATTGGTTTCAAGTGTGCTGACTCCTGATTCCCGTTGGAGTACTGCATTTGGGACACAGCTGGGTACCTAGAAGATATTTCTTAGAAATTTTGTTTGAACTCTTTCCAAAGTAATCATGTTGTTGTATGGTCCTAATTGGGCCTCATATAACAGTTGTGCTCGAGCTTTAGCTGCAAACAACTTAATTGCAGCGGGAATAAACTGCACTCCTCTGGAAAAGTAATAGGTTAGGATGGCTAAGGCAGACCTCTCTGCGTTATGGGTTACATAGTCCAAATGGGCATTTCTATTTCCTGAGGCTTGAAATACTATCCCTAGATATTTAAAGATTTTAACCTGCTCAATGGACTGTCCGCCTAAATTCCAACCTGCAACACTGAACTATAAAATGCTGACACCAGTCAAAACATCTCCAAATTTAAGTGGTGGGTGCCTAACTGGAAGCTTGGCTAGACACCCCCCCCCCACACACACACCAGTATTATGGCTATGAACATATGCAATTTTATTTATTCATTATTTTTATTCATTGAGTTTCCACACCCACCCACTCACCAAGTAACTCTGGTTAGCTTGTGGAAGGTTTAAGATATCAGATAATGAAAAATAAATAGCACAATAAAAGCAGCTGCACTGGGGGCCAGGCAAACTCCCCCCCCCCAAAAAATTATTTCAATGGGGCTTGCCTGGAGTTTCTTTGCAAGCGCAACAGGACAAGCTACCTTTGTCTTGCTGCAGTACCTGCCATGCCTACAATAACATTTTCTAAAATATTGTGAGAAATGGAAGATGTAACACAACCATTAGGCGGGAAAGCAGCTATTTCTCTCTTTTATGGTTAATAGGAATGAGTGAATAAATGAAAGAGGAAGAGAAAGCACAATCCATTGAAAAATTACATTCAACTTCTGGATAATTTTAAGTATTTAAAAATATTCAGTAACCTCTTAGTAAGAGGTTCATAGTAAATATAAAAACAACTGGTAACCAAAGGGATCTGACAATGTCTTTTGGAACCCTTGTCTAAGGTCCAAAGGCAACTGTTTGAATATACGAATCAACTAAATTTATTATTCTTAAGTAAATTAGTAATGCATTGTAATGTCAGCTTAGGAACACTTGAGTGAACAATAGAAATGGTTCTTTTGTTAAAAAAGCTATCAAAAATACAGGAAGCAAAACAAATATACTGTTATTCAAAGTGTTAACCATCAGCAGCATACATTCTTGTGCAGAAGTATTGTATACCTACTAATTAATGCTACACCAAGTGGCATCAAAATCTTCCATAAAGCTTGATTCTGCATCCCTTTCCATTTCAGCACCCAGCTTGATCCATGGTTGCAACTCTTTCAAGCTTTTGGGTGGTGTGATTTTTCTGGCTGAGTAAATCACTGGCAATGAGTGATCATGGCAGATAACTGACTGAGAGAAAAAATGGCATATGCATAATAAATAGTATAGAAGAAGAAAGGAGAAGAATCATCCTCAGGGACAAAGCGATTAAGCAAAGCAATCACTGCATTATGTCATAAAGCTGCATATTGGAAAGAGCATCACAGCTCTTCTTTCTTGTATTACTTTTTCAGCTAGCAAGAATCTCTGTTAGGGAAAGAGTTGGCAAATAATATTTCACTGTCACCCAGATGTAAAATCAATCAAGTAGAAATGAAGTACAGATCAGATACAAATGAGCAAATAAGCTCCACTGAAATAACCCACAGGAGCTCATAGTAAGGAGGCAAGGAGAATGCATACCAATGTTGCAATAATAAGTGTTACAGGTTCTTATTAGATTATAGCATGCTTCCAACTGATTAAATCATAGTCTTCTAAATGTATAGAGAAAGAAAAGGCAAAAAATCAGCTGAGGGATTTTAAGATTGACTCCACTATGCTCAATACTGCAAGATTTCCAGTGTTAGAAGATCTAAATTCCTGTATAACTCCAACTGGACAGCAGCCATTGTATCAATGGCTTAGGACATTATAACACCTAAGAGCAGAAAATGAGTTGAAAGGGAATGTCTCATTCTCAGCATGGGTTATATTATATGTGCCTAGATCACAATTCCCACTTCAAACGTACAGTCATGTGAAGATGTTCAGGGATGTCATATGCTTTATGCTAAATGGGATCCCAATAACTATTCAGTCTACAATGTAAATGAAATCCCTGTGACCAGCACTGTTGAAGCTCACTTGATCAGCGCCAAGATGGGAAGCCACTAAAATGCTTCTTAAAGCACCAGACAGGAAGTCTGCTATTCAAACTTTTGGAATCCTAAATGTCACAAACTATTAAAACAAAGCCTCTGAACTTCTGCCTTTTTCAGTATTGTGATGAGTACTGTAGTACATGCTAGTCTCTGTATTATTTGCAAGTCACTATACTACATAGCTGCTGTAATTCTGTTGTGATGTACAGATTAAAGGATGGGTTTATGTGGATAGATGTTCTCTGCCCTGAATTCTATGAAACAAGAATCCAGTGGATACAATTAAAAATACTTAAGTAATGTTTCCTGGGCTGATCACTTTAGAGGGAATAACATTCTGAATGTTTCCCAGCCCCAACCTTCTGTGCATAAGAAAGCAATTTATCAGGAAGAAGTGGAGCAATGCTCTCTAAAAGGCTTGCTTTGAATATGTAAATAGAGAGAAATCCAACATGCAATTTCCCTGCAACCTGAGGTAATGATTTAAGATAGAGGCTTGCTTCAAAGTTGGTAATCACAGTTTCCAGGTTTGGATGCTAACAGAAAGCTACAATTAAGTAGAAGCTTCTTGATTTATCGAGAAGGGCCATGAAAGGAGATACGGAGGAGTTGTATGCACAAGCAAAAGATGTTTACATATATTAGCAGCATACCTACATCTGCTCCAAACTCATAAAACAATGGGCTGACTCTTGCCTAGGACTTGTCTCCCAACAGTCTGTTCTCCAGATTGTTCTCTCTGGTCAGGTTCCTATTTTGGAAAGAAATTGGATTGGTAGAAAAGTGATTAATGGCAGGGATGCTACGTAGGCAGGACTTTAAGCCAATTATTTAGGGTTGCACTCAGGAAGTTCTCAAATTCAGCAGGGCTGATTTACCACATTTTGACATAACCTAATACATTTTACAGTTTAAAAAATCTCTTCCCTTTATATAACAATTAAGTCCTAAAATTATTAAACTGCACTGTAGCTTGAACAGAGGCACTAACATACAGTTGACACTGGATTACTTCATTTCTTCAAACTTGAAAACACCTTCTTTTCTAAATAGTAAATCTTGTTGGGGTGATATGGGAGAGATCTGTCAATCCAACACATTTAGCTTGACCCTGTCAGAAAATCTCAGCTCTCTCCCACATTGTAAGAATTCCTAAACTACAAGAATTGGATAAAGCAATCCTGAGAACAGGGAAACAGTTCATCATATTTACATCTGACTTATTGTTAGATGTGGGTATTTAAAAAGTATATCCTATGAATCCAGGTGGAGGAGCAAAAATCAAAGGATTAGATAGGAAGGGTAAATGCCTGCATTTCTTCATTGCTGAAATGGGTGGATGCCTTTGAAGATTAGCTGGAAAATGCTGCTTTGCATGATGAATTTAACCCTTTTTTTGTAACAGCTAAACAGGGATTTTCTCTCTCTTCTTTTCTTTTTTGTCCATATCCGGTTCTCTTTTCTTTCTCCATCCAATTTCCTCCCTTTCTTTCTCTTCTCTTCCCATCTCTATCCTGCTTATGTATACTTGTGTGTTTCTGTGTGAATGGTTTGTGCATTTTATGTATGATTTCTGGTTCGGATATGCAGATAACTCAATTTAGGTTAATTGGGGTACCATTTTTTACAAGCATTCCATTTTAATTAGGAGTAATTATTTCTTTCTCTCTCTCCTCTTTTCTCTCTGCGCTGTCTTGGTTCTGCCTATTACTTTGGAGTGTGGATATGAGAGAGATGGAAAGATACATATATACACATATATATACAAATGTGTTATGTGCACCCATTTGTTAAGAGTAATTCTCCAAATTAACATGCTGGAGAAGCTAGGCATTACACATAATTTTAATCTTTATTTTTACTTTTTTCTCTACTATTCCTGCTTGGGAAATGAGAAGTTAATATCTGAAATCCTTGGAAGTATGGCCCTGAAATTATTTGTAGAAGAGTTTGTTGCATTAATTTCTAAATGGCACAGAGCTTTTAAAAAGCTTGGTAAAAAGTCTTGAAATCACTCCATGATTTGGTAAGCTGAAAATCAATGCAATGAGAACCTGATACCTGGTAAAGATAACTTCATACAAATTGCAGCAGGCTTTCACTGCCTTCAGATTTCAAAGTGTATTGACAGCCGTAATTGAGAGGAAATATCAAATTCTATTGGGACGCAGGTTCTGTATATGCTGCAGATATCAAGACTGAAGATTGGTTTCATGTTCTTTAGTTATATCTGGGCAGAAAAAGATCTTCAGAACTATCTATATTCTGATGAAGTCAAGTTGGTTCTTGCTATCAGTTCACATGGCTCAGCTCTCTCAATGTATGGCCTGTTTTGCCAAGGAAAGCTTAAAATCATGGACCAGCAACCTGATGGGTATGGCAACTGACTCTAAAGGTGCCTCCCTCACTTAGCATAGTGAACATAGTGAAGATTAACTTGACTGTTTGCATTTTGCACTGCCCAAATTTCATGGAATGACCTAGGACTCCCACTTAACTTGAAAACTTTTAAAAGTTTCAAATGATAAAGTGACTCTCCTAAGTACAATGATAAATGTTAGAAACTGGAAGTATTGAAAAAAAAATGGTTGAAAAAAAACCTGTAGGTGCTGTTTTTGTCTGGCTGGAAATCTTAGCTGCTGCAGCAGGTAGACCAACATAAACACCTCCATAGTCCCTTCATGAAAAAGAAAAGACATGAAAGTCATGACTTGATTCCATAGTAAAAATATATCCTATACAGGGCAAGATGTTTAATCTTTTTCTGGGCCACGGGTTACACTATTTAGTACCCTCCTGGGAACTGCTCTCTCAAAAGCAAGAGAGTTGGGCAGGATGAAATTATTCTGCTCATTACTCATCATATACGTAAGTATTACTCATTCTGTTACCTTAAAATTACAATCTAGTAGCAATCTTTGAGGAGTACTTGGGGATATACTTAGAGCTTGTGGGGGATATTTAAGCTAAAAGCTGCAAGACTGTGTCTGATTAAGGCTTCTGGTTAATCAAAGTACTTCACATACATTAGCTAAATACAATCCCTACAGCAACTCTGTTGCTGTGTTGTAATATTTGGGAGACTCCATGTTAGAGGCATGTATCTCTCCCATGAAAAGTGAAAAGGCTAAAGTGAATGGGGTGACTCCATGCACTCATTCTCATACACACATAGTGGGTAACAATTCATATTATGTATTCATATAACTGTTTGTGCATGCATACCTTCTTATACAAATGTATTACAAAGAAATATACAAAGACCTCCAGGTTAAAATTATACCATACTTGAAATAAGTTGCATAAGAGTAAAGCAAAGGGGAACTGTGACACCCCCCCC